AACTCTGCCTCTCGAATAAATAAATAAAATCCTTAAAATAAAATACAAAAGCAAGGGTACACGTACTTCAGGCCTTCATGTTAACAGCACTGACCCTGCAATTAACATCCCCCCCTCAAGAAGGTGGCCCACCTGGGGTGGCCACAGCAGTCTGAGGACAGCATGGCAGCTGGAAGTGACCTCAGCCTCAGAGGCAGGGCCACAGGGCACCCATGAGCCAGCGCCCTGGGTCCTTCTCAGCGGGAGGATACACAGGCTGCAGCTGGGCAGAAAGGAAAATGGCTGTGCAAAAGCCCTGGGGTGAGAGGAAGCAGCAGCAGTAGCGTGAGCCAGAGGGCTGCAGACGGACCCCCAGGCAGGGACGTCACCAGAACAGGCAGCTGCCAGGCACGGGGGGAGCCCGGGGTAAGGGATGGGGGCAGAGGGGACAGGAAGCTGGGCACCCTGGCTCTCCGGCACGGCAGGGGTGGGTGGGGCGGTGAGAAGCAAAGCCTTGGCCCTCTCTCCAGAGCTCACTGCTACCTCGCTGTCCAGATGTCCTGGTCTGCGTCCTTGTCAACCCCTCCACGGCACACAGGCGCGCTGCACTGAGGAGCCTGTAGTCTGTCCCGTTCCGTGAGCTGGGGGACTGCCCACGGCAGGGGGCTTAGCAGCAGCAGGTGCAGCAGGCAGGCCCTCAGTTTCCAGCTTGCCCTGACCACTCAGGGGTTCTGCGGAGGGCCTGCATCTGACCCAGCCCAAATCCCCACGCCCTGGGCAAGGCCCAACCCTCTGGAAGCTTCCAGCAAATTCTGGGAGGCAGCTCACACCCTTGGGGCCCAGAACCCAGGCCAACCCCTGACACTAAAGCCAGCCCCCCTGCCCCGCTTCCACCAGCCCCACTGTTTAGACACAAAGCAACCATGTCCCCCATACCCCCAGTCCCCCAAGTCCCCAGGCCTGGCCACTGGACCAGGCCAAAGAGGTGGTTCTACCTCTGAGCCTTGTCCACAGCCACTCTGCGCTGTGTGGACGTGCTGGTAGTGGGTGGAATGGGGCCATGCGCAGGGGGTCCAGGGGACCCATACAGAGGTGACATGGGACAGGCTGTGCCAGCAGACCCTGGGCCCAGAGGAACCCACTGTAGACTGTCTCTCCCCACACATGACTCCCGCTGTGCTGTGCCTGGAGCGGGAGGGCAGGAGCCATCTCACCCGCACTGCCAGGCCTCTGCCCCACAGCTTCAGCTCCACACGGCCTTGACCTCTGGGTGGGAGGAGAGCCCTCCTCCACAGGGGGCCAGCCCTGCTGGCCTGCTGCCCTGTGGGCCCTGGAGTCCCCGCGAGGGCCCAGGAGGCACAGGGGCTGTCACTCTGGGCCCCATCTGTCCCTCTCTCCTGTAGCCCAGCAGAGTATTGTCAATACCGGGGTCCACCACACACCCACCTGGGGATGTCCTGTGTCCCACCACGTGCCCCATCCCTCGGGAGGCCCCACCATCTGCACTGTCACCCCCAAATATTTGTCACGCCCTTCCTCTTCCCACTGCCTCCACCACCAGCGTGGTGGGCCCAGCCACCCACCCTGCTCACCTCCCAGACAACAGTCTCCTGGCTGCCCCCTGCCCCTCCACCACTGGACACAGGGCACAGGCTGGGGTGGGCGTGTGGTCCAGCAGTCAAGATGCCACTGGGGACCCCGCATCCCATATCGCAATCCCTGGGTTTGAGTCCCGGCGCCATTTCCAGCTCCAGCTTCCTGCCCACGGGCACCCTGGGAGGCAGACGTGATGGCTCAAGGAGCTGGGTCCCTGCCTCCCACTTGGGAGACCCAGGTGGAGTTCCTGGCTCCTAGCTTTGACCTGGCCTGGCCGGGCATTTGGAGAGTGAACCAGTAGATAAAGCTCTCTCTCTGTCTTTGCAATAAATAAATAAAAATTTTCATTTGATAAAAATCAACCAGCACTTCTGGCGGGCATGTGGCCTAGCAGCTGCCGTGGGCATCTGAGGGGTGAGCCAGGCGTGGGAGCTCCTGCCCTCTATCTGTCCCTGACTCTGACCGAGAAATGAAGATAATAGTGAGTGGTAATTTAAAATGGTGACAGTGCTAACATGAGCATAAACGTTCCTCTGAGCCCACCAGGACAGGAGGTGACACCGGGTGTGGGAGGGCACGAGGGAGCAGACAGGCGCAGCCCTCATCCCAGTGCAGGGCACCTTGAAGCAGTCACAATGTCAGCCATGTTCCCACCGGCACCAACAACAAACCCGCCACACGCCACTGCAGGGCTGCTGCCTGTGGTGCCGGCATCCCCTACACGCACCACACTGACCAGCAGCTCCCCTTCCAGCCCAGCTCCCTGCTAACTAACGCACCTGGGGAGGCAGCAGAAGACGGCCCAGTGCTTGGGCCCTGCCACCAAGTGGGAGACCCGGACGGAGTTCCAGGGTCAACAGTCCCAGCTGTTGTGGCCATTTGGAGGGTGAGGAGGGCGGAGAGCTCTCACTCTCTAACTCTGCCTTTCAAATAAATAAATAAACTTTGGGTTTTTTGGTTTGTTTTGGTTTGAGTTTTTTTGGTTTTTTTGTTTGTTTGTTTGTTTGTTTTTTGTAAAAAGGAGGTGGGACTTGATCCCAGGCACTTGGGTATGGGATGTGGGTGACCCAACAGCAGCTTAACCCGCTGCACCCCAAGACTCGCCCACACATACATTTTTTAAAGACCCAAGGGATTTCTCACAGCCAGCAATAACTACCAAGAAAAACACAACAGGGAAAACAGCCTCGTCAGCGATGCAGGACATAGAATATTCTGGAACAAGATAAGTCGGAACCTACGCTGGGAAAGCCCTGAGCACACAGCGCCAGCTGCACCAGGACCCTCTGCTCCCACAAGCAGGGGTCCAGAAACTCCCCCCACAGCCTCCAGCCACAATGCCCATCAGCCCCACCCCACCCCACCGGCGCACTACACGACAGGACTGGTTAATAATTGCCTCATTTACTCACTTACACAGTTTTTTATCAGATGGGCAAGCCGTATTGTTTGTTTGAAAGTATAACACCGGTACAGTGGTCAGCCGCCCCAGCACTGCAGGGCCCCAGTACTGCAGGGGGAGGGCTCCCGTCAACACCAAGCAAACCTCTCAGAATTCACAAAGCTTTGGGTGAATGGGAAACTTTCTAGGGGTGGGAGTTGTGCTATAGCGGGTTAAAGCACCCTCTGTGATGCCGGCATCCCACATCCGAGCACTGGTTCAAGACCTGGCTGCTCCACTTCCAATCCAGCTCCCTGCTAATGCACCTGGGAGAGCAGTGGAAGATGCACCAAGTGCTTAGGCCCCTGTCACCACGTGGGAGATTCAGATGGAGTTCCAGGCTCCCGGCTTCTGCCCAGCCCAGCCTTGGCCGTGATGGCCATTTGGGGAGTGAACCAGTGGGTGGAAGATCTTTCTGTCTCTCCCTCCCTCTCTCCACTCTGCCTTTCAAATAAATAAATAATTTCTAAAAAGGAAGGAAGGAAGGAAGGAAGGTTGGTTGACTCTCCTGATCACACCCAGAAGACACCAGCGAACACTGCCCCTTCCTCCCAGCCCCTCCCCGCACCACCCCGTCCTCTGTCCCCGCTCCACACACACAGGGAGGAGAAAACCACTCTCACAAGCAAATACGAACGTGAGTACCCGTTTCCCTCCTTTCATCACTAAAGCTGACACCTCACATACAGCATTCTGTCCCCTTGCTGTTCCATCAATCTCCCGCCCATGCGCACCCAGCACCAGAGCCGGCACCCGGATGGCAGCTCCACCTCCCGCCCGTGCGCACCCAGCACCAGAGCCGGCACCCGGATGGCAGCTCCACCTCCCGCCCGTGCGCACCCAGCACCAGAGCCGGCACCCGGATGGCAGCTCCACCTCCCGCCCGTGCGCGCCCAGCACCAGAGCCGGCACCCGGATGGCAGCTCCATCTCCCGCCCGTGCGCGCCCAGCACCAGAGCCCACATGAGGATGGCAGCTCCACTTCCCGCCCGTGTGCGCTGCGTATGCAGTTTTGACAGGCACGTTCGCCAGCCCAGTTCCCACAGCTTTACCATGGAGCCCAGAAACCTGGATTTTGAGATTTTAGCCAATATGGTGGGTGAAAAATGGCACCTTTGTGTAAATAAAATAGTATTTTTTTTATCTGAAAAACTGAGCTACAGAGAGAGAAGAGACGGGGAGGCGGGGTGGGGGGGACAGAGAGAGAGAGAGAAAAGAGAGAGAGAGAAAGAGAGAGCCAGAGAGAGACCTTCCGTCTGCTAGTTCACTACTCAAAATGCCCACAACAGCCAGGACTGGGCCAGGCCGACGTCAGGAGCCCAGAATTCCATCCGGGTCTCCGACAGGTGGCAGGAGCCCAAGTACTCGGATCAGGCTCCACTGCTTCCCCGGGCAGTGCAGACCCTACGGAGCTCCAGGCTCCTGGCTTTGGCCCGGCCCAGCCCCGGCCATTGCAGTCACTTGGGGAGTGAACCAGCAGATGGAACATCTCTCTCTGTCTCTCCCTCTCTCTTTCTCTGTAGCTCTGCCTTCCAATTAAATAAAAATACATCTTTTAGAAGGAAGCACACCAAGCACACGGCAGGCTGCCCCGGGCAGCAGGGTAAACAGCGTCCTTGTCTGGAAGCGGGCTTGCAGACGTGATTGCGTTCCAGACCCTGCGTGAGAGCGCCCTGCACTCTCCAGGGGGCCTCAGTTGTTCCTGCAAGAGACAGAGACGCCGGGCAGGTGCTGAGGGACACGGCCTGCTCCCAAGACTGGCCGAGGAGGCCAAGCTCCACTCCCCATGCAGGGTCAGAGCCACGAGGCCACCCCCCACCAGGGTCAGAGCCACGAGGCCGAGCCTGCCCAACACAGGCTGAGCGACGGGCCACCCCCCACCACACACAGGGTCTGAGCCATGAGGCCACGCCCCCACGCAGGGTCAGAGTGACAGTGACGAGGCCCAGCCCCCCCAGGAGGGTCGGAGCAACAAGGCCACTCCCCAACACACCCAGGGTCAGAGGGACAAGGCAGAGCCGCCCCCCACACACACACACAGGGTCAGAGCAGGCCGTGCACCTGCACAGGGCAAACCTAGAGCGCCTGGCCAGGCTCCGCTGTGACAGCCCCGCACGCTGACGCAGAGGCACTGCCAGGCTGGTGCCGTGACTGGAGCCGTGGAGCACGGAAGTGGCTCTGGGAGCGGGCAGCAGGCGGAGTCTGCAGAAGCGCCAGGCCCGGTCACCTGCTCAGACTGTTGACAAAGACAGGTGAGAGGTGCCGCCGCGGAGGCCTCGGGAGGAAAGGAACACGGGAACTGGGGGCCGGCGGACCCCGCGGGAAAGCGGCGCCATCGGGGCTGAGCTGTGTTCCGCCACCAGGTACGAGGCCGACTGGCCGGCCGGCACTGCGCCTGGATCCATTCAGCCGAAGATGCCCCAGCAGAGGGTGTGGCTCGGCTGCCGCGTGCAGCCGAGAGCAAAGTGCCCAAACAAGGAGAAACTGAGGCAGGAACTGCAAAGCCAAACGGAGCCCACGCAGCTGTAAAGGGGGAGGCACCTCCAGGCTTATCAGAAGGCTGTTCTGCCCACAGGCCCTCAGCGTGGCCTGGAGGGGAGGGGGGACGGGCGGTGCTAGACATGTGATCCACAGCAGGCCGACAGACCTCACCTCACTCACGGGACCAAGACCAAAGACTGACCGACAGCCGAGCCTCGGGCCGGGTCCGCAGCCCGAAGCAGAGACAGAGGCCGGCAGAGCCGCAGGCGCGGGGCACAGCGCCGAGCTGCAGAGGTGGAATTTGCCCTCCTGGGCTTCTGTTTATGCTTTTATGCCTTTTATTTCTCCCTTTTAGAGTGCCCATGCTGGGGCTACGCCAGGCCAGAGGCTGTAACTGGAGGTACACAATTCGCTTGCCAGTTTCAAAAGTACACAGGTGGGTGAGAACTTTGTCCCCAAACAGCCCCTGCTCAGTCTCACCCAGACCTGACTTAGACAACGAGATGAGGGGTCTGGGACTTTTTAAAAAGATGTATTTATTTGAAAGGCACAGTTAGAGAGACAGAGACAGAGAGAGGTCTTCCACCTAATGCTTCACTCCCCAAATGGCTGCAACGGCCAGAGCTGGGCCAGGCCGAAGCCAGGAGTTTCTTCTGGGTCTCTCACATGGGTGCCAGCCCCAATCTGGGACTTTTGAGCTGATAAAATCTTAAACTTAAGAGTTGATGGACCGGGGCCGGTACTGTGGAGTAGTAGGCAAAGCCACCACCTGTGACACTGACATCTCATATGGGCACGGGTTCGAGACCCGGCTGCTGCATTTCCAATCCAGCTCCCTGCTACTGTACCCAGGAAAACAGCAGATGCCCAAGTGCTTGGGCCCCTGCACCCACATGGGAGACCCAGATGAAGCTCCTATCTTCAACCTGGCCCAGCCCTGGTCACTGGGGGCCATTTAGGCAGTGAGCTGGTGGGTGGAAGATCAATTTCTCTCTGTCTCTCTGTCTCTGTCTCTGTGTGTGTGTGCGTGTGCATGTGTATGTGTGTGTCTCCCTCTCTCTGTAACTCTGCCTTTCGAATAAATCTTAAGAGCTGATTGAGACTTCTGGGATTCTTGGGGTGGTGTGGGGAGCAATCCGGACTAGACTGAGTTACTGGAATTAAGACTTATTCTATGCATCTGCTCTCCCACAATATGGCGCTGAGAAGAGAAGTAAACAGCTTCTACACAGCTGCCTCCAGTTCAGCTAATAAACTGTAGGACTTGCTCCTGATTGGAGGAGAGCAGCGTACTCGGCGTGTGGGCAGCCGAGTTGGGATTGGCGGAGGAGGACTATAAAGGAGGAGAGAGACGGCATGCACCGGGGAACATCTAAAGGGAACATCTAGCTGAAGGAACACCTGTGCAGCCCCCGGGAAGAGCCGGCCGGCGGTGTGCCGCTCCCCTGCGGAAGTGGGGAATGTGGCCAGGGGGAACTGCCCTTCCACGGAGGTGGAAGGGATAGTAGCCAACCCGGGAAGAACCAGCAGCAAACCCGGGGAGGGCCGAGCAGACAGAAAGAACAGCGCAGGGTCCTGTGTCGTTCCTCCACGAAGAGGGGGAGCGACAGGGTGGGGTGAATGTATTGTACATGTGGGACAGACATGAATTTTGGGAGGCCAGAAGGCAAATTTTAGCAGGTTGAATGGTGCCCCTCAAAAGTACATCCATGGGGGCCAGCACTGCAGTGTAGCAGGCTAAACCTCTGCCTGCAATGCCAGCAGGCATCCCACATGGGCGCTGGTTCTAGTCTCGGCTGCTCCACTTCCGATCCAGCTCCCTGCTGTGGCCCGGGAGAGCAGTAGAAGACGCCCAAGTCCTGGAGCCCCTGCACCTGCATGGGAGACCCAGAAGAAGCTCCTGGCTTCAGATCGGCACAGCTCCAGCTGTTGTGGCCATTCGGGGAATGAACCAGCGGATGGAAGATCTTTCTCCCTCCCTTCCCCTCCCCTCCCCTCCCCTCCCCTCTCCTTCTCTCTCTCTCTCTCTCTGTAACTCTGACTTTCAAATAAATAAATAAAATCTTTAAAAAAAAAAAAAAAAAAGGAAAGAAAGAAGCTGAGTCTCTGCGCCCGTGTGGGAGGCCTGGATTGAGACCCAGCTCCTGGCCCGGCCCAGCCACTTGGCCCCTTAGAGAAGCTTTCTCGTGGCGCCCGCAGGCACACAGCCTGCCCTGCGAACCGCCCCAAGTCGCCATGGTGACGACACCGACGCTCAGCTGTCTCCTGAGGTGGACCCCACGCCTGCTCCTGCAGATCCGCAAGTGGTCATTCGTTTAACAAGAAGGCTCAAAAAAAGATTTTTTTAAAAAGGTCAAAATACACACCCATTCATAAAACAAAAGCGGAGTAAAGATCGCAAACCCAACACTGGAGATACCAGCTGCCTCCCACCTGTGCACACAGACCCCACCTCCACCCCGTCCCCCAAGGACCCCCTGCCACCTCCCACCTGTGCACACAGACCCCACCTCCACCCCGTGCCCCAGGACCCCCTGCCGCCTCCCACCTGTGCACACAGACCCCACCTCCACCCCGTGCCCCAGGACCCCCTGCTGCCTCCCACCTGTGCACATAGACCCCACCTCCACCCCGTGCCCCAGGACCCCCTGCTGCCTCCCACCTGTGCACACAGACCCCACCTCCACCCCGTGCCCCAGGACCCCCTGCTGCCTCCCACCTGTGCACACAGACCCCACCTCCACCCCGTGCCCCAGGACCCCCTGCTGCCTCCCACCTGTGCACACAGACCCCACCTCCACCCCGTCCCCCAAGGACCCCCTGCCACCTCCCACCTGTGCACCACAGACCCCACCTCCACCCCGTGCCCCAGGACCCCCTGCTGCCTCCCACCTGTGCACACAGACCCCACCTCCACCCCATCCCCCAGGACCCCCAGGGGAAGCCTGGCCACCCCACCAGCCCCCTCTGCTTCCCACCACCCCGGTGCCCCTGTGGTGACCTCCCTAGCCCACAACGCTGCCTGCCACTAGCCTGCCCCCAGATGCCATCTGGGGGCCTGCCTTTCCCACAGCACTGGCCCTGGGTCTGCCGCCCTTTGGGAACCAGAAAAGCTGGCAAAGTGGCCTCCACCCGCTTCCTGGTCCCAAGTCCCCTTTGCCTTGGGAAAGAAGCAGTAAAGGTCCCTGCCAAGAGCCGCCCAGCTGGGAGGGCCTTCCCACAGCTAAGCCATGACCCCAGGACCCACAGACTGGAGGGAGAGAAAGAGGGGCCCACAGCCCCCGTCTCCTGAGACAGTACCTTCCTCCACTGTGAGAAGGAGCACCTGACCCCCGCCCTCCTGCCCCCTACAGACGGCCCGGTAGTTGGGTACCTGACCTCACCATCCACACCCCCACCGGGCACACACAGCACCAGCTCGCCCAACCCTGCACCTGCCCGTCCACTGGGTCACGGACATCACGGTGGGGGACCCGGGCATCTGAGCTGCAGCCAGCATTAATCTCCCCAGCCTCCTCAGGTCCCTTCTCAAGGTGCTAGAACCTTGGCCCCTCTGCGGCCTCACACGCCTCCCCATCCCACAGCGAGCCAACAGCAGAGGAAGCGCCCCAGCCCCTCCGAACCACAGGGCCCCCCCCGGCAAGCGGCCATCAAGCTGGGCCTCTGGAGAGAGGGGCTGGGCAAAAGCACATCTGGCACCCAGCCTGGGCCAGGGGGTGCCCATGGCCCCTGTGGCCAAGGACGGCCTTCGAGGCCTCTCCTCTGCCCAGGGACAGCAGGTCAGTGTTCTGCCAAGGCCGTGCAGGCAGCACAGGCCCCGGGCCACGGCTCCATACCAGAGGACACCCACCTCCAGGCTGCCACACCCCAGCCTGGCTGAGGTCCCTGACGGCCCCTTCCACCTGACCCCAAGCCCCCTCCTGGCTCATCACCCACTCGTCCACTGCCCAGGCCCTGGCCCTCTGCCTCCTGGCTGCCCCCGTGGGCTCCAGGGGGCTGCAGGTGCAGAGTTCAGGACCCTGCCTTCCCTACCACAGCCTGAGGCATGGTCCCGCGGCCCTGCCCGCCAGCTCAGTCCTGTGCTTTCTGGCATCCTGGCCTCTCCCCATACTTCCTGCCTCAGTCGTTTCCAACCTCCCCCCCACACACAAAGTGGAATCCCCGTCCTGCCGCCTCCTTCCCTTGGCCACTCCCCACTTCCGCTGCCCCCCCAGATCTTCTGGGGATAGCTGAAGAGTCTCACCCCCCAGGACCCCTGCAGGAGTCCAGCTCCAGGAGGGGGGATGGGGTGCACCTGTCTGTCCATCCCACCCGTTTTATTTAAAAGGCAGAGCGAAGTGGTTGGGGGAGAGAGAAAGATCTTCCATTCACTGGTCCATTGCTCAAATGCCATCATCAGCTGGGGCTACAGCCGGCTGAAGTGAGGGGCTCCACCCAGGCATCCACGTGGGTGTCAGAACCCAAGACCTGAGCCATCATCTGCTGCCCCCCAGGATGCACGTTACCAGGGACTTGGAACTGGAGGCAGCTGGCACTCGAACCCAGGCACGCAGGCATCCCAAGCCGTGTCCTAACCACTGTGTGAGACGCCTGCCACCAAGGGTGATTCTTTACAGTGAAGACACAGCCGGAACCTCCCACGCAGCGGGCGAGGCTGGCGGCAAGCCGCTGCTGAGCGTGCGTCTGGTGCCTGTCGCGCTCGCCGACACCAGCGGGCAGTTCAGGAGGCACGCGTGTGCGGCACTCTCCTAGAGTGGCCAAGTAGATGGAATGCCGTGCTTCCGTGGACCGGAGTACTGCCACCGGCAAAACAGGTTCAGCGGGGGACAGACAATCTTTCCAACAATTGTGCTGGGACAGCTGGGTTTCAACACGCTGAAAAGAGACCCCCAACTGCACTACACGCAGAGTCAACGCAAGATGGAACTAAGGTTCCATGTAAGAGTGAAAATCATAAACTCTTGGAAGAAAACATACAGCGGAACCTTCGTGACCTTTAGATGTGGCATCAAAAGTACAGCCAACCAAGAGAAAACTGTTAAACCGGACTCGCGTTAACGAAAGCAGACGTGCCTCAAAGAACACCTCCGAAAAGGTAAGAAGGTGGGCGGGTGCTGTGGCGAAGGGGCTAAGCCTCTCTGCCCAGGGCACCGGCATCCCATGGGGGCCGGCTGTTCCACTCCTGATCCAGCTCCCTGCTAATGAGCCTGGGAAAGCAGCAGAAGATGCCCACGGGCTTGGGCCCCTGCACCCACGTGGGAGACCTGGAGGAAGCACCTGGCTCCTGGCTTCAGCCTGGCCCAGCCCCAGCCATTGCAGCCATCTGGGGAGTGAGCCTGTGGATGGAAGATGTTTCTGTCTCTCTCTCCTTCTCGCTCAGTATCTCTGCCTTTCAAACAAGTAAATAAAGATTTTTTTAAAAAAAGTAAAAAGGTAACTCAGAGAATCAGAGAAATTATATGAAGAACACTTGTAATTCGGTAATAAAAAGATAGAAGCCCAATTTTAAAAGGGACAAAGCCTCTGAACAGGCCGTTCTGAACAGACCAAGGAGCCCAGGGAAAGACACCACACCTCACTAGCTCTGGGGAAGGCACCACTTCACACCCACTAGGACCGGCTGTCTAACAATCAGAAAGTCAGATAATAACAAGTGTCGGCAAGGACGTGAAGAAACCAGTCGCCCTGCAGAGCCGTGCAGCCGCTCGGGGGCCAGCCTGGCAGCTGTCCGAACATCTAAGTATAGAATCACCACACAACCCGGCAGCTCCAGCCCCAGGCAACTGCAAACGCACAGCCGCAAAAACATGCACGAACGGTCCCAGCGGCGTCACTGACAGCAGCCAGAGTGGAAGCACCCAAGTAGCCATCAACGTTCAAGTGCACGAATGAAGGCCGGTTTAGGCACACCACGGAGCAGTACGACCCAGGAGAGGGAGTCGTGCACGGCACAAACCGCTGGCCACGGAACCGCTGTGCCGAGCGAGAAGAACCCCGATTCCGTCTCCAGGGAATGCCAACGCAGGCCCATTCCTGAAGACGGAGAGGACGGTGCTGCTAGGGCTGGGGGCCCCGTGTCCTGGCGCCCGTCCTGCCCTGGGAGGCACTGGAAACCACCGTATCATGTACTCTTGACTGGGGAAGTGGCGTGGCCTGAGGTGCAGCTCAATAAGGCACCATCAGAAATAACAGGAGGAGCAGGTGCTCAGCCTGGCGGCGAAGGTGCCCGTCCCAGGCTGGAGCGTCAGCCCCTGCCTCCGGTTCCCAGCCATGCAGGCTCTGGGAGGCTACGATGACTCAAGCAGCTGGGCTCCTGCCACCCACATGGGAGCCTGGATTATGTTCCCAGCTCCCAGCTTCCGCACAGCCCAACCCGTCTTCGCAGGCATCCTGGGAATGAACCTGCAGACGCAAGCTCTCTTCCTCTCTCTGCTTCTCAAATGAATAAATAAAATCTTAAAAATAACGAGGCCGACCTAGCCTGCACTGACGTGGAAAGTCAGCGGCTCCGGCGAGAATCCCCGGGCAAGCCTGCTGGGAAGGGAAGGCCACACGACGGTTTGTTCTCTCTCTCACCCCAGCCAGTGAGACCGGGGTCAGAGCTGGGATTTCTGCGCTTCCACAAGTCAGCATGTCTCACTCGGCACACTCGGCCCATGGCGACGCGCTTCCACAAGTCAGCATGTCTCACGCGGCACACTCGGCCCATGGCGACGCGCTTCCACAAGTCAGCATGTCTGTCTCTGGACAGCGGCGCGCACGGCCACGGGGCTCAGGATGGCCTCACAGGCTGCCAGCTGAGCTCCAGCCACTGTGGACAATGCCTGCACAGTCACTGCTCACCCATGCAAGCTCCCTGCAAACACCAGCCGAGCGCCAGGGCCAAGCAAGGGACACAGATAACAGAGCCGGGAGTCCAGCCGGGAGGAGGGCGGGGGTGGGGACGCGCCAAGAGGGTGCCAGCACGAGGGCTCCAGGCCAGCGTGGCCCAGGAGGGAGGTGGGGC